GGCAAGTCATGTAACGCTGTTTACCTCAGTTTCCTCACCTGTCAAATGAGTTGGAGAAGGAAATGGCAAACCAATCCAGTATCTTTGCCAAGAAAATCCCAAATGGGGTCATAAAGAATTGGATACCACTGAATAACAAAATAAATATTGATTGATTGTGGAGTTTTATCAATATTCTATTCTAATGCTGCTTCCTCTATTCCTTTCCCTATCACTCTCAGTTAGAAGTGATCTCTTTCTCCCCTAAATTCCTATAGTAATTTGCCCAGATCACCACTATAGCATTTGGCAGATTCTATTTTAGTTTGCAGTTGTCTGTATGTTCATCTTATCTCTCCTATTAGATTGTAAATTCTCTTTAGAAAGGGACCAGGTCTTTTTTTTTTTCCACTCATAATACCTAGCATGTAGTGTCTCATATACACTGAGTACTCAATAAGTACAATCAGAAATTTAGGACTGGAAGGAACTCTACAGATCATCTGTTCCAAAGCCCTTATTTTATAGATGAGGAAACTGAGGTCGAGAGAGTTGAAATAACCTCTCCAAGGTTACATAGCTAGTAAACAGCAAGGCCAAGATTGGACTCGGGTATTCTGACTCAAGGTCTTATGACTGTTGAATGAGTGCATAAATTAATGAGCATAAAGGCAGTACAGAAATTCTAGGTATAGTTAACATCACTAGCATTTCAAAGAGAGTAATAGTAAGAAACCACAGTACTCATTCTACTTCTGCTTTTGAATTTGAACTCTATAAAAATAAAACACTCTAGCCCTGTTACATAAAAAATAACAGGCGTTTAAAAATTAAAAACCTAAGGTCATGAAGTGTATAGACTCACAGTCAATATTCGTGGTTTGGTGTAACTGAATCCACCAAGTAGCTGGTGATGTGAATTCAAGATCAGGAGGCGGCATTCTACAGAAGAGAGCTGGGATTTGAGCAAGTCATTGAACTCTTCTGGGCCTCAGTTTCTTCATCTGTAAGATGGGGAAGAGTTGAATTAGATGTGATTTCTAAGGTCCTTTCCAGTTCTAAATATATTACCTTATGACTGAATTCTGTTTTGGGAACTCTTCTGACTTAATTAGCTTGTTTCCTATTTCCTGTAGTATTGGACTCATGCAGTATTGAACTCCTGTATTGGAGTTCTGTACAGTGTTCAGTAATTAAGGGCCACAAACTTTTAAATAGCATTGGATTTGGCACCAGTTTGCACATTCAAATATTGAAAATTTCTCAAATGATTTTTCAACTCAACCAAACCCATTGTGAGAGTAAAAGCTGAGTGAATAAAACACCATGGACCTTCACGAAGACAGCTTCTATAATAAATATAAATTATATTTTATCTACAATACCTCAAAGATTTCTGATCTCATCATTTTGGAGTATTCCCTTCAATGAGCCAGACTGAAATCTCTCTGTGCCTTAGCAGAAGTCTTCCTGAGTAGCTGTGACCAAAAACATCTGTCTTTGTCTGCTTGCTCACTAGTAAGGACCCTCTCCAAGCCTAGCTAAACTGGGCCTCAAGTCAATCAATCAACAATCATTTCTTAAGCTCCTACTGTGTGTCAGACACTGTGCTAAGTGCCAGGGATACAAAAAGAGGCAAAAGGCCTTCCTTGCCCTCAAGGAGTTTACAATCCAATGGGATAGACAACACACAAACATATAAAAGCAAGCTATATACAGATAACAGTCACAAGGTTGGTAACTAGATGACCTTCTGCCCTCATAGGATCTGGCAGAGCTTGTGGCCCACTGGCGCCTATAAGTCATTTGAGGCTATGGTGAGGCATCATGGGAGGATTTAGTGGGGGAATAAATATGCTATCTTTGTAAAAACATTATCCTGAGGGATTCCACAAAAGAATTTATTTTTTAAAAATCTTATTTCTAACTGTAAAATCTATTCCAGTCTCATCTCACAGAAGTGTCCTGTGCAAAAATGCATGTGCCAGTAGAAAAGCATTTGCTGGGTTCTGACATTTGTCATTCAGAATCTCAGAATCTAGGAAGTGGAAGGAACCACTAAGCCCATCTAAATCCAACTCCATACCTGAAAAGGAATTTCTATACATATGCTTTACTAATGGTTATCAATCAATCAATCCATAAGGACTTATTAAGTGTCTATTAGGTCAGGCATTATGGTAAGCACTGGAGATACAAATACAAAGAATGAAAAATTCCTACCTACAAGAAGCTTACCTTCTAACAAATGTTTCTTTGTTTGAAGACCTCCAATGATGGGGAACCCCCTGCCTTCCAAGGAAGCCCAGTTCACTTTTAAATAGCTCTAATTTTTAAGAAATTACATCAAGCCTTAATTGGCTTCTTTGTAACTTCCCCTCTTTGCTCCTAGTTTTGTCTTCCTGACCACCAAAATAAATCTACTCACTCTTCCTCATGGAAGCTATAAATTACTAGAAGACCACCATCAAGGGTCACAGACTTAGAACTAAAAGAAATGATCTTGTAGGTCATCTACTCCAACCCCCATATTTTTATATATAAGGAAACTGAGGCCCAGAGAGGTTAAGTGATTTGCCCAAAGTTATACAGCTTTTAGGCGTCTGAGACTGAATTTAAACTCACGTCTTCCTCACGTCAAGTCTATCACTCCACCCACTAAGCCATGCTATCTCATATCCCCATTGCACATGTCACCTAACCTCTCAGTGCCCTAGGCAACTGTCTAAGACTATAAGTGGCAGAGCAAGTGCCAATCTGCCTTGGTAAACAGGTTTCCTTGTCAGGAGTTCCCCATGCCAATGAAATCACGGGTCTAGTTCAAAACAAAACAACCCTGCTGTTGACTCATATGGAGTTTGCCACCTACTAACACCCGAAGATCTTTTTCAAAATACAATCTAACCATCTTGTACTTGTGAAATTGACTAACTGAAGTGTAGAACTTTACATTTATCTTTTAAAGTTTCTTGTTAGATTTGGGCTTGTCAAGATCTTTTTTGAATCCTCTCAACCAGTGTTAGCTGTCTTTTCCAGCTTTTTGTCATCTGAAAATCTAATAAGCAAGCATACCACCTATGTCTTTATTTAAGTCATTGATGAAAATGTTACACAGCACAGCTCCAAGCACAGATTCCTGAGACACTTTACTAGAAACCTCCTTCCCAGCTGGAATTACACTTTTGATGTTTTAGCCTTTGAAATCAGCCATTTGAGCAGTTTTGAATCCTCCTATGTTATCTGTGGTCCCCAGAGGACAAAATTGTGCTGTCATCTAAACTACATCTCTCCATCTTGTCCAAAAGAAAATCATGAGAAACTTTGTCAAATGCTTCGCTAAAATATAGGTAAATTTTATCTACAGCATTTCCCCTTATCGGCCACTATAGTAACCCTATCAAAGAAGGACTCTTCTTGGCCTATAAAATCATACCAGCTCTTTATGATGCACTTATTCTTTGCTACACATTTGATAACCATCCATCTTATCTATCCTAAGTAACTATGGGGAAACTGTCCAAAATGTTTTAGTTTTGTTGGGTTTTTTTTCAGGAATGTACTAGACAGGTAGGTGGCATGGTGGATACAATGCTGAGCCTGGATTCAGGAAGACCTGATTTCAAATCCAACTTCAGATACTTACTAGTTGTATGACCCTAAGCAGTCATTTAACCTGTTTGCCCCAGTTTTCTCAACTGTAGATGGAGATAATCAAACACTTACCTCCCCAGGTTGTTGTAAGGATCAAATGAGAACATATTTATAAATTATTTTAACTAAGGCCCAAAAATTCTTAGCACAGTGCCTGGCACATAGTAGATGCTATATAAATGCTCATTATTATCAGTATCATTAATATTATGTACTAAATTGTGTAATATCTTCCTAGAAAATAACTTCTGGGAAAATATTTTTTCTATCTATGGAGGAGGATGAAATGTTATTTTGCTTCTTGTTAATCCTAGGTTCATCTTACTTTGAATTAAATTTTAATTGATACCTTTCATTTTTATATTACCTTTATTATTCAATATAACCCTCTCCTCTCCCTCTACCAGAGAATCTTCCCTTATGACAAAGAATAAAAAAATCTGAGTGTGGTGTACACACATGGAGTCCTTACTACTGGCTGCAGGGGTAGGGAACCTAAGGGATTTGTTCTGTGAAGTTTGGATTCAGGCAGAGGGCCACACTTTAGGACCAAGAGGGCCACATGTGCCCTCGAGGCCACAGGTTCCCCAGCCCTGGCTGAAGCAAGCGAATTGTTTGAGTCTGGGAGTTCTGAGCTGCAGGAGGGCTAAAGCTGATTGGGTACCTGGACTAAGTCAGGCACCAATAAGGTGAGCCCTTGGGAGCTTGAGGCCACCTGGCTGACTAAGGAGGGACAAATCAACCCAAGTTGGAAACAGAACAATTCAAAGTTTCCATGCCAATTAGCAGCGGGGTTGGCCCCTGAATGGCTGCTACACTCCAGCCTCGGTGAAATAGTCTCAAAAGAAAAAAAAAGCAAAACACTGTTTTAAAAAAGAGATAGAAAAGGCAGTTTACAAATCAAACAAGTCCGACATCATATGCAAAAATCCCTTATTTCTACCATGAAAGAAGGGAGCTATATTCTCATATCTCTTCTTTGGGGACAAGCTTGATCTTTACAATTATATAGCATTCATTTTTGGAAGCAGTGGGGCTTTTATTGTTCTTCCCATTGACGTGGCTGTAGCCATTTTGTATATTGTTTTCCTAGATCTATTTACTTCACTTTGATTCAGTTCCCATGTCTTCCCATGCCTCCCTATTCTTCACAGTCATCATTTCTTACACCGCAGTGATACCAAGTTATATTCACATACCACAATTTGTTTAGCTATTGCCCAGTGGATAGGTATCCAATTTGTTTCCAGTTCTTTGCTACTACAAAAAGTGCTTCTATGAATATTTTGGTTATCTGCGAGGCCTTTCTTTTAATAATTGACCTCCTCCCTAGATTCATCTTTAAAGAAACTTTCGAATTCTTTTCACAGATATGATGACTTTCCCAGAACATCTGTCACTGTGAAGGGAACCCCTGAGGTGAGTTGTTGGCTGACTTTTATGTTGAGTTGTCTTAAATCCAGAAAGTAAAGGTTATTGTCAGGGCTGTGATGTAATGTTATCCAGAATTGATGTTATTCCTGGTCAACTACTTATTCAAACAGGATTCCCTACACCTCAATTTAAAAACATTTACTTTACCAGGCACAGTTCTTCCTAATGAATCTAAAGATCCCCTGCTGCAATAGGTTTCTCTTTTAGCTACAATAATGAATGCACAGTTAATAGATTGTAAAAGGGAGGACGCTTAGCCTCAGCAATTAAACCAACATGTTTGTATCAGTTATCACCTGTGGCCACTTGAATTTTTTTTAACCACTGGGAATCTCTAAAACAGCTAAGGTTTTTTTGGTTCCTGACACCTCAACAAGGCTTCCTGGAAAGAAGAAGTCTTCAGCTACTTGAGATATACCCCACTATTCACAGTGTATTTTGCTCCACTGATTATAATTTTATTAAAATTCAAAGCCATGGATAGGTGTAGTTATTATCAGTAAGGTTAAACAGAGGATGTTTTCCTCTGACCTCAGAGCAAGAGTTGGGCTCCTACTCAAACAGATTAATAGATAGTTAGTGTAGGAAGAGCTATTAGAGAATAATAAGCTCCAACTTTCTCATTTTACAGTTGAGGAAACTGAGGCTCAGAGAAGTAAAGCCCAACCAAGGTCACACAGTATATAGTATAGTGGAAACTCAAAACTAGGGCTGCTAACTTATTCAATATCCTTTCCACTATGTTATGCTGCCTTCTTTTACTACTTTGTAATATCATAGTCTCAATTAAATTCAATTCGAGTGCCTAATATAGGCCCTGGACTGTGCCAGGCTCTAGAAATAGAAAGACAGATTTAAGTCTATGTCTTAAATCAGCTTACATTCTATTGGGGGGAAATAACACATACAAATGAAGTTAAATGTAAAATATCTAGAAAGTAATTTCTAAGGGATGGCACTAGCAACTCAAGATATATTGGGTGTAGGGGGAGGGAAATTAGGATGAGTTTCTTGTATGAAGTATTCTAATTGACCTTTGGGGGAATCTAAGGATTCTATCAAAGATGAAAAGGGAGTGCATTCTGGGTATGGGGGGCTGGTGTGGTATGTATGGACAGCTTATGAAAAGGCAGAAAGATGGAAAATAGAATATTGGGTGCTGGGAACAGCAAGTCGACCCATATGGCTGGACTAGACAGTGCATAAAGCCAAGTAATATGCAGTAAGACTGGAAAGATAGGAAGGAGACAATCTGTGAATGACTTTAAAAGCCAAATAGAGGACCAGTTTGTATGTTATTCTAGCAACAAAAAGGAATCATAGGATCTTCTTGAGCAAAAGAGTGACACAGTCAGATTTGTCCTTTAGGAATATTATTTTGGAAGTATGAAGGAAAGACTGGGAGAAGGGAAAGACTGAGAGACGGGAAACAAATTAGGGGGCTATTTCAATAAAGTAGTAGATGATGAAGGCTTGTAACTAGGGTGGTGGCTGTATAAGTGGAGAGAAGATGAATCTACAAAACTTGGCAACTGATTACAGAAGTGATGTAGAGGAAAGAAAGGAAAGGAGAAGGGAATGTGCATTTATTAAGCACCTACTATGTGTCAAGCACTGTGCTAGATGCTTTACAAATTTTATCTCATTTGATCCTAACAACTCTATGAGGTAGGTGCTATTATTATGCCCATTTTGCAGTTGAGATTAACCAAGGGTGACTCTAAGTTTTCTAATCTGAATGACTGGAAGGGTAGTGGTGAGAAGTAACAGAAATATGGAAGGAAGAGGAAAAGGTTTAGAGAATAAACATATTGGATTATGTTACAGACATGTTGAATTAGAGTTTCCTACTGGGCATTTGGTTATAGATTTTCAATGGACAGATATTGGTACAGCACTGAAATTTAAGAGATAAACTAAGGCATTAGACAGACAGATAGATAGATAGATAGATAGATAGATAGATAGATAGATAGATAGATAGATAAATAGATAAACAGATAGATCGATCTAAGGGTCACCTGCATAGAGATGATAGTTGAACCTATAGGAGTTGATGAAATCACCAAGAAAGAACTTAGTGAGAAGGCCTAGAACACATAGTTCTAAAGTACCCACACACATAGGGGATGAAACAAAGATGATGATCCAGCAAAGAAGACTGTGAAGAAAGGGCCAAACAGGAAAAGAACCAGGAGCATTGGGTGTCAAGAAAACATAGAGAGGAGAGAATATCTAGAAAGATGAGGTAATCAGTGTCAAACACCATTGAGGGGTCAATAAGGATGGAGAACAGGGCATCAGATTTGTCAATTAATAGATCACTGGGGGAGCAGTTTCAGTAGAGGGATGAAAGCAGAAGCCAGATTACAAGGGGTTGAAAGGGAGTATAAGGTGAGTAGGTAAAGATGATGAGGCTAAGCAGATTTTTTTTCCCTAAGAGTCTGGCTGTGAAAAAGAGGGGAAATAAAAAATGAGAGATGAGATCCATCTCATGAGACCTTAGACAACCATATTACTTCCTTTTAGGCTAGTATTCCTCAACATGACTTCTTTCTCTTCATCTATCCCTACACTGCCTTTAGTCCCACCAAATGGGACCTTGTGGTAACCTCTTACATCTCCTCATTGTCTTCACTGGCTCCCCTTTGAAGGGAGGATGTTTGGGCAAAAGTGCTGCATCTCTTTACCCACGGTTCTTGTGCTGAAAACAGGGTGGATATGTTATGAATTCCTCAGAAGTCTTCACTTCCTTTTCTTCTTCCCTGGAAGATTGCTCTAAGTTTACCTTCAACTAGTTCCACTGCCATTCAAGGGTTAGGCCTCAAAGAAGCATGAAGCACGTGGGGAATGCAGGAGGAAATGTAAACACTTAAAAGTTTTAACAAGCAGTCCAGTTAACCATGAAGTAAGTCAGGAGCTGAAAATCTGGAGTGGATCATTCAGGCTTATTTTTGTGTCTCTTTCTTCCAGCTGGTGCTTTTCTGTTAGCCATTTCATAGGTACATGTATCAGAGGATTAGCAGGAAGAAGAAAAATGACTGGAACATCATTTAAGTGTTTACTATGTGCCAAGCTCTGTGATAAGCTCTGGGGAGCTCATACAGAAGCAAAGATAGTCCCTGCCCTTGAGGAGCTTATATTTTGAGAGGAAAACAACAAGCATAGGAAAGTCATAGCCAAAGAGTGGCGGCCAATTTGGGTTCAGAAAGTAAAATGAATTGAGTAGATCCACAGGCAATAGACTGACACACTCCATCCAGGCACAATGGCAGATGAGTATTTCCTGGTTCCAGAACTGAAGAACTGAAAGGGGGTGGCATTTGAGACGGGAAGAGAAGGACAAACGCATGTAAAGCCTTTGGTAATGAAGCTGTGGAGGATATGGCAGGAAAGAAACCAAACTAGTTATTTTTGATCCTTGTTAACATCTATGAGAGATTCAGAGGGACCCTCAGATAAGAAAAGGTTGCTTTTGGATTGGATTGGATCCAAGTAAAGTTCTGGACGTAAAAGTGGAGAGCAAGGAGTGTGTTGCCTATTCCTGGCCCCACTCAGTAAGGTCTTCTCACTGTAACCCAAAATGGTAAAAACTGTGGACCAAATTTAGGATTTGGGATTATCTAAGGATTTCAATTATCTATGATATCTTTGATCTCTTACATTACAAGTAATGGCTGGTTATAAATACTTTATAAGTATCTGCTAAGATATTTAGGCAGAGAAAGGAAGATCTACTTAGAAATCTGTTTAAGTATAGGAGAATGTTGCCTCCTATGGCAATCTCTCTCTCTCTCTCTCTCTCTCTCTCTCCTCTCTCTCTCCCTTCCTCTCTTCTTCTTGTCCTTGTTCTCTTCCTTCTCCTCTTCCTCCTTCTTTTTTCCACTTCTCTTCCTCCTCCTTCTTCTTCATCTCCCTCTGCTTTCCCTCCCCCACTGGGCTTTGTTGTCTAGATAAATAGCCTTATTTGTTTGCTGCTAGATGACTTCAGCTCTGAAAATAAAATGGACCCCTAATTTGGGAAGCAGAGCCAGGGCTGGCACAAACTTGAATGAATCCCCAAATCCAGGATTTTAACCCTGTAATCTAAGGAACAGACCCTAAATCATTCTGAGCAGAGCAGATAGTTCTCATGCTAGAGAGAAGGAGGAGAGAGTATGGAAGTGTTATATGCAGAGCCTCCTTTTCATTCCAACTCAGCTTGAAGTCTCAGGGCATGCTGTAGAGTATTAAATGGGATCAATAGTAATCATAATAAGTCATATTTCTATAGTATTTATAGAATCATAAGAACATATACTTAGAGCTGAATGCAACCTATGGGCAATCTAATTCAATTCCCTGAGTTTACAGATGAGGAAACTGATGTTCAGAGAGGTTACGGTGCCCACATGCTACCATATTTTAATAGCACCTACTTGTCAACAGTAACCTGAGTGGAACATTTAAACTATCCAGAAAATCTGTTGATTGTCAGTATTATTTTTAAAAATCTACCCTGGAATCTGTCCAGCCCACTCAGAACTTGTTATTTGCTTAGGTCTCAGAAGCAATGTGGTGTAGAATATGGAGCAACAGCCTCAAAACTGGAAAGATTTGAGTACAAGTCCTGTCACTGACATGTATTGGCTGTGCAACCCTGGTCAAATTACTTTCATCCCTGAGTCACTTCACCTTTAGATGCTCTAGGCCAGAGGTGTCAAACCAGCTGGGCTGCCTCAATACTCCTGACTGCAGCCTGAACCAGATTAAAATGTAGTAGGGAAATATTGAACAAAATAAATAAAAATATAATAATAAACATAGATAATATTACATTTAAAAATTGTCAATCTGTGGACCACAAGGATACTTGGGTTTCTATTTGAGTTTGACACACTGCTCTAGGCAACTCTGAGTTTTACTAGCAGAGAAGGTCTCACCTTGCATTGGTAGAGGCAATTTCTTTATCTGGGAATGATTTTGTGTGATTTCACATCTCCTCCCCTCCCAAAATTTCTCTTCAAACCGAAATGTGGCCAAAAAGGGAAATGCCACAGGATTACAAAGATGCCACAATAATTATTATCTTCAAGAGGAAATATCTGAAAGATGACTAATATTCCAATTCAACAAACATTTATTAAGTGCATGCTGTATACAAGGCATATGTTAAGTGCTAGAAACAACTCCTGCCAGACACTCCTCTCTATCACTGGCTGAAGACTAATCGAAGTCTCTGTGGCCAGGTGCCTGAGAATATCACATTGCTCTATGCACAACAATACTTAGTAGAGGGGTTTTATGCCATATTTTGGAACCCATAAGGTGGGTTGATAAATGGAATCTTTCCATAGAGAAGACAAAGGAAAACTACACTAATTCCTCTAAAATTAATTTGTTGACTTCCCTAAAGCATGTGGTGTCATCAGTAAGCCTGAACTCTGGTATCTGTTTAGCAGGTTTGGCTGCCCAAAGAAGTTCACAAAGAATCCAGGGTTACTTCATAGTAAGAAGTTTGGCCAGTCATGTCTGAGTTGATAGGATCATAATATCTTAGAACTGGTAAGAGACTTCCTGGGAGGAGGGATATCTGTGGAGGTATTCCTTCTACTTTAAATCCTAGCCCTGCCACTTATTGAATATCCTTGGGCAAGTCATTTAATCTCTTTGTGGCTCAGTTTCCCTTTTCTGTCAAATGAGGGATTTGGATGAGGTGACCTCTGAAGTCCCTTTAAGTATTAGGTATATCCCCAAATCAATCCTCACTCCTCTTTTCTTCTCTTTATTCTCTCTCTTTTCTTCATTTAATTCTTTACCATGGATTTAATTGTCACTTCCATATGGGTCATATATATTCAGACCTGAGCTCTCCTCTGAGCTCTAGTCCTGCATTTCTAACTGCCTGTTGGACATCTTTACTTACATACACCACTAGGAATTAAAATCCAATCTGTCCCAAAGTGAACTAATCATCATTTTTCTTCCTCATCTTTGCCCTCCTTCCAACTTGCCTGTTTTTTTATCCTTCCAGCAACTCCTAGCTCAAAATCTGAGTCATCTTTTATTCTTTCATATTCCTCCCCCAACCAGATATGCAATCAGTTACTAAGTCACATCAATCTACCTTGGCAATGTTTTGCATCTAGATCTTCCTTTCCATTCACATGCCCACCATCTTTATTAATACTCTTGTTATAGCTTTATTCATCTGGACTACTATAACAGTGTCTTCTCTTGTCTCTTTTTTTTACAGTCTTTCCCCTCTCCAATATAGTTTTATTGGGACCTCACTCCCTATAGTGAATCCCTGATGTCTATGTAAATGCAGTTCATAATCCAAACATTAGGCATTCTTCATCCACTTATTTTTCCTGTGTGGATGGTTAGATCAAACTCTTTTGAGTAATTATGAATCTCTCTAGGAGACTCTAAAGTTTTCCAGGGCCTGATGCGACCCACATAATGTCATTTGCAAACAAGACCATCTTGGGGACCATCATCTAGGGATTCCCTACTCAACTTGGAATCTTCCCTGGGTCTCCTCCCATAATAGTGCCAAATACCTTACCAGGGCATATATCTCCCTGTTTTATGCCTTGCTTCATATCATTAATCAGAGGTTACGTTGAACAAGGATTGTCATAGCTTTCAAGGAATTTGACATATCTTTGATGTATGCAAGGGAGATACCTTCTTGGAAGAGAATCTTCAAAGGAATGTTTTGCTCCTAAATCAAAAGCTTTTTGTTTACAATTATTAGTCAATTGTGTGATGGTATAGATGTCGTCTACTGTGGAAAAATCACATAAAAAGACTGCTGTTTCCTACTAATGTCTTCCTCAAGGATTCTTGCAAATGTATGTACAGATTATTCTCATAAAAATTTTATATAGATGGGAAAGTAGGCCTGTAGGTCAGTAGTTGCTGATGGTCTCACAGTTCCCTTTTCTGGTATTAATAAGATGCAAGATTTTTTTTCACAACTCTGGTATCTTCTTCTGTTTTAGATACCTTGTAATCAACCCTTCATTGTGTTCATGATCGTGTCCCTGCAGCACAAATCTCCTCTCCATATACTTCACCTAATTCAAGTGCTTCTACTGTCTTTATTCTCTTAAGTGATACTTCTTCCTACTCTCTAAGTATACCCAAGAATGTGCTGTTAAAATCCAGACGCAGTGGTTCCTACTCCTCTTGATGGTGACTAGAACTTGTCATAAAAATCTTTGTAGATCTTCTCAATCATTCATCACTTTGTTGTCCTTCGAGTTTTATCCTGAAATGTTCTCGGAATGTCTTTGGTTAGTTAATGCTCTTGCCAAGCTTTCTTTGAACTGGCCTTACTCTATACCGCTCCTCTTTATTTTATAAGGTGACACTGCTCATAATCTTTCACCATTCTCCTAATCAAGATTTTATGAACAAGATTTTATTTTAGCTGGTGCTGCCTTTGGATCTTCTGTCTTGTCATTTCAGAAGTCAAGTACTCACTGACTAAAGCACTTTTTAGGCTCTTGTTTTGCCTCCTCATTATGGCAAATTATTCACATCATGAAATAAAGCCAGCATTAAGACCAAAAATTTAAGCATTTTTTCCAAAGGAGTTGCTGAATTTTCAACTCAACTTTTCACTTTCTTTTCATGTGTAGCTACAGTCTTAATGAATTATGTTAAGTAGGGGCAAACCATAGAAGCCCAAAACATAGGCAAAAGGGGGTGCTTTTAAAAAGACTTTGGGTACTTAATAAGGATCTCCAGACCACAGTCTGTCAGTCAATAAACATTTGTTAAATGCCTTTTTATGTGCCACTGTGCTAAGAACTGAGAATACAAAAAAAAGCTAAACAAACAAACAAACCCCAACCCAATCCTTGCTCTCAAGGAGCTCACAGTCTAATGGGATTGTATTTATATTATAATATTCCTTATTAACAGGATGCTAATTGCCCTGTAGGTATTTGACTGTGACCTCCTTAACAGGTAAATTCCCAAGAAGACAAACTTCTTAAATTTGAGTGGAATGGCATTGGCCTCTTCCCTCTTCTGTTTTAAAGCTGAAAGCACTCAATATTCAAAGGAAACTTGAAGCTTGACCAGTCCCAAAGGGAGGAATTCGGAGAACTGAAGCTCTCTGTCTCTCACCAACTCTGTCCACCCCCACACATAGGACAGGGCTTTCATCTCCACCAATATGGAGAGTCCAATACCAGCAGACTTTGGGACAGGGGTTACACTAATTGTAGTCAGTGAGTCAACAAGTTCTTACTAAACACCTTTTATGCTTCAGACACTGGGCTACACTCTGTTAGGAGTATAGGGTGCTTCTAGGGTTTATCCCTCTCAGACAATGAGAAAAGACAAGGCCAGAAGGGTTAAGAGCAAAGAGATTGTGAGGAAATACACAGGAACAATCCCGGCTATCATTGTCCTCACTAAACTATACCTACTCATTCTCTGTATCAGGTCACATTTTCTATTTCAGGTCACATTTTCTATTTCATTAATCCTTTAGTCCCTAGTTCTCTTGACATTCCTTTGAAACCTTCTTAGCCTTACTCCTGGACCTCACGACCAGTGCCTGGGTACTCAGGGCACAGTTCTTATGAGAGGTCTAGGAATTATATCCCATAAATATCTCAAAATTCAATATATCCAAAACAGAACTTGTCTCTCCTCCCAGACCCTGCCCTCTTTCTAATTTCCCTAATACTATTGAGGATAGCATGATCCTCCCAGTAACCCAGGCTTATAACCTTGACTCCTCACTGTCATGTTCAACTCCTCACTGGAACTCACGCCACACACACACAATCTGTTTCCAAGTTTGTCATTTCTACCTTCATAATATCTCTTGCAAAGTCAATCCTGGTATAGGCCCTTATTACCTCATACCTATATTACTGCAATGGCCTACTGGTTGGTCTTCAAGCCTCAAGCCTCTCTTCACTTCAGTTCATATTCCTAAAGCACAGGTATGCCTGACCACATCACCTCCTATTCAGCCTTTGTATACTTTGCATACTTAACTCCCTTCCGTCTACTCTACGATCTAGCTACACTGGCCTATTTGCTGTTCTATAGACACCACATTCTACCTCCTCCTGAATCTGTACCTTTTCACTGGCTCTCTGCCATTCCTGGAATGCCCTTCCTCATCATCTATGGCTTCCTTGGCTTCTTGCAAGACTCTGTTCAAATTCTACCTTCTGCAATAGGCCAATTTGCCCACATACCCCAACCCAGATTGGTAGCTTCCTTTTTGAGATTACCAACCAATTACACACATGTTGTGTATGTATGTAGTTTTTTGGCATGTTTTCTCTCCCATTATTGTGTGGGTCCCTTGAGGGCAGGAGTCATGTTTTTGACTTTGTTAGAATTCCTTCCACTTAGCACAGTGCCTGGCATGTAGTGAACACTTATTAAATGTTTGCTGACTTTTGCACCTATTTTCAGAGCTTCTTAGAGGGTTGAATTATATTAAGTCCTATAATAAGAAATATGTGACTCCTAGAAATTGAGTGGTCTGCCCAAGGACCCATAATAAGGCTGTTGTTTTTGTTGGTAATGGATAATAATATTTTTTATTAAAAGAATAAATGAAAAAAAGTGAATGTTGGTATAGTTAGGCTCATTATCAATTTCAAGTAGAAAAAAATTCATTAAAGATGGTATATGGGAAAAATGTGTCAGGAAAATTACTTTGTAGATCTAAGATTAAATTCTTTTGGAATTTTCCAAAAATTTCCTGAAAATCATATTTTTTGAAATATTCTATATGAAAAGGTATTTAACACAGAAATCAAGTCAGTGGGCTTCTGTGTGGAGTAGTATTTTTGTGAAAGACCTAAAGTCAACCTCTATTTTTCACTTTAAAATTCACAGGCTGGAATATACAACTCACCATTAAACAGTGAATCATCAAATACTGCATTTCCCCCAAAGCCTGTAGGAATGAGGGAAGGAAGTGGTATGACCCCATGGGATGCTTCCCAGATAGAGAATGAATTATTTCGTGGTAAGTCTGTGAACTGAACTGCCTTCATAAACCCCTCTGCTGCAAAAAAAAAAAAAAAATTCTAAGGTACTATGCATGGTAAGTAGCCAAATATCGTATGGTAGAAAATTCACTGGATTAGGTATCAGCAGCCCTTTGTGCTAGACATGGTTGTTTATGACTTTCAGTATGGTAGGTGGCTTTGTGGAACAATGTTACATTTAAGAAGACTTGAGTTCAAGTCCTCCCCCAGACACTTAACTAGGTGTGGGGCTAGAAAATGCTGGAGTCAGCTCCTACTGGCTCTTTACAACTGAATTTTCATTGACAGCATTTGTACCTCAATAATTGGCAAATGCTAATTTACTTATAAGTCATATAAATGCTAATCAGGACTTGATTTATTGTTTTGTTAATTTGATTTACTGATTTGTTGATTTATGGCTGAAGAAACTAATGGAGAAGATGCTAATAATGCAGATTAAACTTTAAAAAGTGTCATACATAAAGTTTTTTCCTCCCTGAGATCCTGTGGTTAAACATTTACCTGCACAGTCCTGTAGTGATTCTAAGCAAGTCACTTAACATCTCTCAGGCTCAGTTTCCTCATCTGCAAAACCGGGATAACAATAGCATCTACCTCAAAAGATTGTTGTGAAGATCAGATGAGATAACCTAGATGAAACATGATGCAGACTTTAAAGAGCTATATAAATGCTAGCTATTATTAAGTTACTCTGGGCCTCAGTTTTCTAATCTGTAAAATATTGGACTAAACTAAATCGTCTAAGGTCCTTTGCAGTCATAAGAGTCTCTAGTGTGTTGTTCTGGTGCTCTTTACCTAAAAAGTTTGTGCATGTATTTATGAAAAAAGGAGAGTAGGAAAGCAGGGTGGCACAATGGTAAGAGAGTGGACCTAAGTGAGGAAAATCTGAGTTAAACTCCTGCTTAAAAACCCACACTGACTGTGTAATCCTATATGTCACTTAACCTTTCAATGCTCTCGGCCACTCTAAAACTAGAGATGCAGAGAGGGTATTGATCTTCAATGGGAAAGGAATTAACTCCCTGAGAGCTCCCTTTGCCAGTGATCAAAATCCAAAAAACAAAGCATCAAAATACATACATGCTTCTTGTGATTAATATCTATAGAATGAGTCAATATTCCCAGAAGAGATCCTCCAATGTTCCTTTAAAAGTGTATGAGGGAGGGGCAGCTAGGTGGTGCAGTGGATAGAGCACCTGGAATCAGGAAGACCTGAGTTCAAATCCGGCCTCACACACATAACACTTACTAGCTGTGCGACTTTGGATTGGGTGACCCAATTGCCTCACCAAAAAAAAAAAAAAAAGGAAGTAGATGAGGCAGCAATAATGTTTAATATTTAATCCCTACTAGTTCTAAATCTACAATCCTAGCAATCTAGCTATTCAAATGGCATTCTTAATTTACTCTTATTGCCCTATTAGAATCTGTAACCACTTCAAGAAATCATTTGTTTAAAATTATGAAATGATTAACTTGTAAGTGGTATAACTCTAAAGTATTGAGACTAGTTCCATAAGCCCCATAAAGCAATACCTTCTACCTACAAAACATCTTTACTGTTTCCAAACAGTCCGGCCATTTGAGAAAGTAGCTTGTACAGTCACTCACCAACTTCGACTTGAAGAAAGAACTAAACTGACCTGAGACCAGGAAAGTGACATCACCTCAGTTCGTGATATCGCCTCTGGCCGTAGTATAAAAAGTTCAGTCAGAGAGGTCAGACCGTGAATCTCTGGAGCTCAGGGAAAGAGTTCAGCAAGTTCAAGACTCACTCCAGAGGAAGTCAGAGAATGAGGCCTGCTTTATCGAAAGGCCTGCTTCACTAATGGAAGAAGACTTTTTCAGGCTATTTTGAAAATACAGATTTGTGAGTAAAAAATCTTTACGAATCTAGAATACTATGGAGAAACACCTGGCTGTGAACTGGCAAGGAATTTGTTACTAGTGTTAATAGCTAAATAAAAAAGCCAGTGTCTTGCCTGCACTTGGGCGTTTTTCTTTTCCTTTGCTCCATATTTTGGTGTTGTTTACTTCACTTATCTAATAAAGGAAAACAATTTTATGGAATTAGATGAGGGACATCACTGGGGTAATAGATATAGGGCAGGCCTTGCAGTTGGGATGACCTGGGTTCAAGTTCTATCCCTGGCACAAACTGGCTGTGTGATCCTTAACTTCTCAGTGAACCCAGGCAACCATAAGACTTCTAAGTTATAGATTTGCATTGATGGAGGGAGTTTCCTCACTGAGGGTTCCCCACATTGATGAAATTACAGGCGGACCCCCTAAAACTGGTCTTCAGTAACTTTGGGGGGCAGTTAAAGAGGTAGTTATTTATATTTTATTACATGACATTTCTACATTTATAGATTTATAATTTCAAGGTTAAATGATGTAATACATGTAAAAAAAGTGCTTTGAGGGGCAGCTAGGTGGCTCTGTGTGTAGAACACAGGCCCTGGAGTCAGGAGGACCTGAGTTCAAATTCAGCCTCTGACACTTGACACTTACTAGCTGTGTGACCCTGGGCAAGTCACTTAACCATGATTGCCTCAAAAAACAAAAAAAAAGTGCTGTGAGAACCTTAAAGAGCTATTTAAATGCTAGCTATGGTGACTTCTTAGTTGCCTGGAGTCTTCTTAGCTGCCTCTCCTAAGATCCTTGTTCCTTTCTACCTGCTGTGGCACTCTAAGCAGCCTCAAGGGCAAAGTCCCAGGAGGCCCTGGGACTTTATTTCCATAAACTCAACTACATGTGTATTTCCCTTTATAAAATAAATACCTAAATGAACAAAGTCATTTTTTCCTCCAAAATAGCCATTTGAAAATGTGCTAAGGGGAACTCACTCTTGGAAGGAATTTTGTGATGAAACTTTTTATATTAAGGATTTTTTTTTCATAATTAAAATAATTACCACTTCCTAATTTATCTATCATTTGGAATCATTGTATATTAGGATTCTTTGAAAGAAATGAGTATGCTAGTCCTTACCCTCAGTAGGAAATAAAAGGTGACTTCAAAATGTTTGTTGTACATAGTAGCCTCAGAGAATCTTACACCTTAAAGTACTTCCATGTTTGATAGGGCCACTAACTGGTAGATCGGGGAATGCTTTATCCTGATTTCAGCAAGGTATTTAACCAAGTCTCTTATGATATCCTGTGGGAAAGAGAGAAACTTGAACCACATGGCAGTACAGTTGTTATATGGATTTAGAAGTGACTGAACCACGAACTTTCATTAACAGATCAATGTGCCAGTCCGGAGTGAGGTCTCTAATAGACTGCTTCAAGTCTCAGGGCTCAGTTCTGTTCTGTTATACATTTTCATCAGTGACTTCATTGAAGGCATTATGTTCATAGGATTGTAGATTTAGAGACAATGGAAGCTTTGAGGTTACCTAACCCAATTCCTTCTTTTTATAGTTAAGGACACTTTAGTTTAGAAAGGTTAAAGACTTGCTCTAAGTCACACAAATGCCAACTGGAAAAGATCAGATTTGAGCCCAGTTCTTCTTAACTCCTAATCTAGAACTCTGTCAACTGTACCAATCTGTTGCCATGCTCATCATATCTTTAGCTGACGTGATGTGTGGAGGGATGGGCAATTCATCAGATAACAGAACCAGGTTCCTACAGGATGGAATAACTGATTCTAAAAGGATGCGATTTAATAGGGATAAATCTGAAGTCCTGTCCTTTGTTTCAAAATATCAATTGCACAAATAGGGAATAGGGGAGATATAGTTACAGCTTAGTTTTTAATGTACAAAAATTTAGAAACTTAGGTTACTGAAAGCTCAAAATGAGTTAACACTGTACAAAAACTAGTGAGATCTTAGACTAATTATAGTGTTGAGAACTAGAGCTAGCATAGTCATATGGTATTCTAGGTATTAAACAGACCATATTTGGAATATTCTATTCTGGATACCACATTTGAAAAATTTAATTGATAAATTATAGCATGTCCAGCTAGAAGGTGGCCAGTATGTTGAAGGAATTCAAAGCATGGCATATGAAAAAAGGCCAAGCAGTTAGCTTAGAGAATTGAAGACTTGGGACGTTAATGCCTCTCATTAAATATTTGAAGGGTAATATGTGAGAAGGGGAATAATATACAGAAAAAACCCAGACTTCTGTGTGGTTTCACTCAGATCTAGAAGCAAGGGGTAAGAAAGAAAAGCAGAGTCTAGAACAGTATAAGGAAGAACTTCCTAATAACTTAAGCTGTGTGAATATGGAATAGGTGACCTCAGGAGGTTGTAGGTTTCTTATGACTAAAAGTAACTAAATAGAGTCTAGAAGATTACTTTTTTGGTAGAATTCTAGAGGGACATGCATTAGATTTGGGCACTGGCCTAGATGATCCCTATGGTCCCTTCCAGATCAAAGATTCTGTAATTCTAGTATTCTCTGCTTGTTCTTTAAATCTTCACATTTATTGAGGAAAATATGTCAAGACTCAGAAAGAAATAGGGAGGAAAAAGGCACTGATTTGTTTCTCTAAGTTTTCTTTTCTTTTTTTTGTTTAAGTTTTCTTTTCTTAAAACTATTATTTAAAATACTGTGAAATTCTGTCAGAATTAGGCTCAGTATTTTATTTAAAAACAAAAACAAGGGAAAATTGGAGGTGTGGGAGACTACTGTTCTTTTGTTCCTATAGCAATGATGTCCCAGCTGTGTAGAGGAAGAAGTGTTTGGAATAAAGAATGAGAGAAACCTCAATTTTAGAATTGTAACTGTAAGAGGAACCTTAGAGGCCATCTTGTTTAACTCCCTCATTTTACAGATGAAGAAACTGAGGCCCAGAGATATAGAGCGACTTGCCCAAGGTAAAAGAGGTGATTAGTGGTGAAGTGAGCCTGGAATTCAAGTGACAGGAACAGATAATTGGGACCAGAATTGATCTTAGATACCATCTGTCCAACCCCTTCATTTTGCTGATGAGGAAACTGAGCCCCAGAAAGGTTAAGTCACTTGACTAAGGTCACCTAGGTAGAGAACAGAGCCAGGATCTTGAGACTCCTGGGTCCAAAGCTCTACATAAAAAGTAGCATGTAAAATGCAGAATAAATTAGAAAACTAAGAAGTCATGACTAACAGCCTACTTCATCCTTTGAATAACACAACTTTCTGTACTTACTGAAAACATTACAGAACCTTTTTTTGGGGGGTGGAATTTCCTTCTGGTATGTGCCACTAGATACTCTATCACTCTACTAATTTTTTAAAAAGCAAAATACCTTGAAAACACAATAAAATTGAATGCAAGTCATTCAATTATTACTTTCAGGACAACAGAATGTAGGTTGAATCCTAAATGAGCATGCTTGCTGGAAAGGAATTTTTGGTAAAAAGGAATTGTATAAATTGTATAAATAGAAATGTAAATTACACTATGTAACCACTTTATAAAAGTAAGGTTTAATTAATTTTATCCTTTTAGTTTTAGATGACTTGGATAACAAATTGGCTCAGGAACAAGCCCTAAGTCCAGCAAATACAAGAATCCACTATGGACCCCGAGCACAAATCCGTCCTTTTTACAACACTGGCAGCAGAAATGGCAATCTCATGGGGGGACATAGGAATAACTGTGGTGAAATTTCATCTCCATCCATCTATGATATCCTAAGACCGTCAACCCCTAGAGAAGGTTTTAAAACTTTCTCCTATAGAACAAAAACAATTTATGATATGTATGGTCCAAGAGAACACACAGTCTCACAAGAGGAATATGTGCACAAGACCTTCGGCAGTTCATCTCTGTGTTTTGATAGGACACAGCCATCAGCCTCTCCTACTTTAGGACATTTCACAGCAAATAGCCTACATCTGCCACCCCAGACTCAAAGGAAGAGTGTTTTTGTATCAAGGAGCCATCAGCAAAGTCCAAGGAGAACTCCTTTGTCATCTATTGTATGGAACAGGCCACATTCTCCTGGAGATATTCAGTACCAAGAAGAGTTTCTGAGGGCACAGTCCCCAATGGAAGTTGACCCTCTCAATCAGAATACGTACCCCACCTGGCCTCAAGACAATAGGAGATATGAATTTTACCGTTCCAGTAATATATACCAAAGTGTTAGGCCACATGCTCCCAGGGACAGAGCAATCAGTCCTGAGTCATTTGAGAATTCTGAGAATATGCCATTCCACCAAAATGAAAACAAATTCTCAGGGTCATACCACTGGAACACCATTACTCCTAGGAGATTGCAAAAAATTGGAGAAAGTCCTTTTCAGAGCAAAAAAGAAGAGTCTCTATCCTTGTCCAACTTTTGCCACAGAAACAAAGAATTCATTTCTTCTGACAGAGACTTTGAAGTTATTTCAATGGATGTAAATGAGGGATCAGCTGTTCATAGTAATAATATTCCTGTACCATCCCAACCCTGGAGAGCAAATTTTTCCAGAAACCAAGAAGAGACAATTCCCAGGGAATTTAATTTTCAAACATGTATATTAGAGGACACAGAAGTCCTATCACAAGATAATGGTAACCAAATAGCCTTAAATGAAAGATATGAACATTTGCACACACCTTCCATGGATACAACAGGAAACAAATTCTGGGTTGCCCCAGATATTTACTCCAGGAGTCAAGTCAGACCAGGTATGTTAATAAGTCAACAGAAGTGGCCTCCAATGGAAGCAAGTACAAATTCAGAGACCAACTTACCTGAAACCACTCAAAATTTGTCATCCTTATCTCAGACTCCCCTGCCCTTAATTCCACATAGAACAGTAACCCCTCAAAGCTCTGATTTCCAGAATGCTGCCACTACATTGTGGGACACCAAAGGGAATGCTCCTGATGAATCAGCCTCTCTTCCTTCAAGTAGCCAAACAGAACTTATTAAAACCAGTAGTGACTCTGTCACTGTTGCCAGAAGCCAACCAAACACTTGGATCACTGAGTTGAATCCTGAGAAAGGCTTAACAGAATCTGTGTCAGAAAAAGTGAAGCAACTAAACAAGGTAGATGAGATGGGCCAGGCTGGTGAAATGTTATCAGTTGTTTCTCAATCAGTGCTTACTGAGACTACACCTGATTATCAGCCTTCTCTTTCTAGGGATTCAGCCACCTTTTCCAGCAACAGATTTGTTTCTAATGCACCTGTCTCCACAGGTTCAAAAAAGCCAACTGGAGTCTTTGGCAGAAGGGATATTTCCAAAATTTGCATATCAAACAGAGATAAAGCAAATGCACTTAAAAAAGAAAATGATTCTACCATGGAAAGAAAACCAGATTCAGGAACTTCATTACATTTCTCTCAGGAAAATGGAACATCATTATCTTTTCCCAAACAAAATCAAGGCTGTCAGCAAGAATCAGGGATAAATGATGTTGGCATTACCAGCATTGAAAAGGAAGAGGGCAAACTAGGAACTTCCAGTGATCAAAACCCACAGTATCCAAGAGAATCATTTCTTTTAGATGCTGAGGATATGCAAGGTATTAGATTGGAAAATGCTTTGGTTCCTCCTACCAACTGCACCAAGTTTGCTGAAAATCATCATGTCCTATCAGACCATTCCCTAGAACCATTGCCAGATCATGGTCAAGGTCTTCCATCATCTTTTTCTCCCAACAGCCCTTCCTTAGCTTCTTTAGTAACTCCCTCTGCTACTTCATTAAATTTCACATGTCATGTATTAGCAGAAGAGGCCATGTTCTCAAAGAAGAATCTTCTGGGAAAAGATGCATCTCAAGAGGAAAATGAAGAAAAGACCTATTCTGGTAACAAGGACCAAAATAATCAATTGCCTCTCAGCTCTTCAGAAAACCAAGCTACTGAGGAGATCCAGGTGCTTGATCATCACAAAGTGAAGGATGCTGCTAAATGCCATCCAAACCATCCTTTCAGTCTTGGGAGAGGAAAAGGGAAAATAAGGCGCCGGGTATCCTGTATTGAAAAGTTAAGCAAATCAGGAAATTTCTTGGGACAGGAAAGAAATGATAGTAGTGACATAGTTCCTGGTCATGGCAATTACCAGTCTCTTGAGCCCCTTGACATTTACTGTATCTTCCCAAGAAAACTGAGCAGTTTTCTAATCAATGACAATATAAAGTCAGAAAACAAGATATTGTCCACCTCATTTAGGAAGGGGCCCCCTCCATTCCAAATAAAGAAGAACATGGCAGATCCACTAGAGAAATGCTTCTCAAACAAAAACAATTCCAATTCTTCTGAACCAGATAGGCAATGTCCTGAAATACATGTGGACTCATCCCCTTTAAGTCCCACACCTGTAGAGATGATGACAAACATTAGAAACATAACACCTGCTGCTATTAGAAAAGGTCCACCTCCATTCGAAATAAAAAGTACTATGTCCAGGCCCTTTGTTACCTGTTCCTCAGATAGAGTGGAGGAAAGAGATAAATGTCATGGCCTAGACACAGAACCTTCTATTCCAACACCAAGGCCTGAGATGCTGTTCTCAACCACTCAGGAAAACAGCCCATCAATTAAAGACTGTTCTTTACAACTAGTCAGAGATTATCCTCATGCAGAAAGTTTTCAAGTCTACCCTGAAAATCACAATGAAATGGCTTCTTCTCAGACAGATAATTTTGCAAATATGTTTTCCCTCCCCGATGAAAAATATTTCTCTTTTCCTCCAGATGGGTCAGAAAAGCAAAGTGGAAAACCCCTACAAAAATATAAGACAACAAGCACAGTCACTGTTTCTGGGGATGAAGACAATGTAAAATGTCTTGAGGTAGTTTCAATCTATTACACTTTACCACGGAAATCCAACAAAAAATTGTGTGACCTCCTTAAAAGTGACACACGAAGTACACATTTGTCCCCAGAATCAGCTACAGTGGGGGATGCAACATTCCCTATTTCTCTGGCAAAGAAGCGACTCAATTCTTCCACGCAATCATTACCAGGAACACCTGTATCTCCACATGCAAAGGCATCTGTTAGCAGGGCTCAATGCAGAAAACATTCCTTCTCACATGACATTGAAACAGCATCTCTTTTACAGTCACCACATAGTCCACAGACTGGGGCAGAGAAGCCCTCAGCAGAGACATTACAGGGAATGGCCTCTGGGTTTTCTCATATGATTGAAGGTATTTCTCTTTGCAAAGAAGAATTTAATACTACGAAGGATTGTTCAACTAAAATGATCTCAGATAATTTACAAAGCAAAGGTACGAATACCTTTTCTTTTGTTCCTGGCCATCAAGAGGGACAAGAAATATGGCAGAATCATACCAGGCATACCTCTGTCTCATCAACAATGCTTCATGATAAACTTGTTAGAGAAGGAAAGCTTGAAAATCCAGAGCAGTCTATTAGAGTATGTGAAAGAGAGAGTCCTTCTGTCATCCAGACTCATTTGGGAGATAATGTTAATGACAGTCCTTGCATAGGAGAAATCTTAGGGAAACATGGGCCTCATTACATAGACATGATGTCTACTAGAAGTAGAAATTATCCTCGTGAAGAAGTTACTGACAAAATAGACTCAATACCTAGAACTATATCCTTCTATGATAATCTGAGAGAGTTACAGCCAGAAGCTGCTAATGGGAAACTTAAAACAGATGACCAGAAAATAATTGAAAAAACATATTCTGCTTTGCAAAGCAAAGAATTATTCCTCCCTTCCAACTCACTCAAACTTCAGCCTGGGGAGATGAACCATAAAGGTCAACCTGACTTAGAAAGGTCACTGAGGGAACCAAAAGAAGTAAGTGATGCAGATAAGGATTTAATTAGGTTGGATAAAGTAGAAGATTCCCAGAACACAAAGGTTAAAGAGACAATGCAGGGGCTGGCATGTGATCAATATTCATCTCCCAAGGTAATAAATGAAAATAAGTGTGATTTGGGTTGCACCAAAGAAAAAATCAATCTAGAGAAAAGGAAAAACAGAACTTCTGTTAAACAAAAACTGGCGGCTTTGTCCAAAGTCAGCAGAAAATTCTCAACAAAAGATATGAACCCCAGAAGGCACATTGCTACTATTTTCCCACATGCGGAAGTCAATTCCAATACCAGTGGCTTACCTCTTAACACACCAGAGATGTCTCCACTTTCAGCTAAACCCACCCTTGGGATCTCAGAATCCACACATGAATATAAGAAATCAGGTCCTAGTGAAACTGAGACCTCTGCACTCCAAACAGCTGAAGTGAATAAGACTGAGACCCCTCTCCAGCCTCATTTAGGTTCCATCAAGAAGCCTGTCAAATATGTAAGTGAGCAAAAAACTATGACTAGCAGTTCCAACCCAAATAAGAACATGGTTGAGAATGTAACAGAATCACCAATAAGCAGCACAAACACTGAAGATGAAATAGTAGTAGAAAGAGGCAAATGCCCTCAAACTTTGGAAACAGGATATGAAACCATAGCCCAACCCATGCTTTCCAGTATGGGGACAGAAGATTTCTCTGATGATCTAAAGAGACTTAGCCTTCAGTTCCCATCTGAGACTACATGTAAGACTTCTGAAGAAAGAATCCTGACACCCAGCCCTCTGTCACAGCGAAAAAATATCTCACCCCAAGAATGGGAGCCTGATTCAAATCTCTATCGTTCCAAGAGTTTAAAAAATATAAATGTACTTAGTAATCAGCAACAAATAAGTCAACCTCAGAAAACGCGTGAGCGCCACTTTTCTGCACATACTTTTTCTGACAATGTCCAGGACAGATGGAAATTCAGGAATGAATTTCCTGTTCAAAGTGGGGATGGAAGAAGGTTCCGATCTTTTTCTGAGTTCTCTGCCTGTGATGAAAATGACAGCTGGGTTTTGGGCAGTGACAGGACCAAGGCCAGTGGCCCCAGATCTACAAGTTCCATCTCCAGACCAATTGACTATGGAATTTTTGGGAAGGAACAGCAGCAGGCTTTCTTGGAGAATGTAAAGAGGTCACTCACAGAAGGGAGGTTGTGGAGGCCAAATTTCCTTAAGAACCCTGGCTTCTTAACAGATGACGTGAGTCAACTTACCAATACACCTGAGTCACTAACTTCCAGTTCAGATAGCAAAATACCAAAAGATGGTTTGTCTCCTAGGGAGCCGCTTAACATCTATCAGGTGCATTCAGAGTCTGACACCGACACCACCACAGATGATGAGTACTATCTGGACAAGCTGACAAGGAATCAGAACTCTGAGGCCTCTTTTCAATAAAAAAAAAAAAACCTTTAAAAAAATAACCAAGTATTGTTCCTGGGAATCCAGAGTAAGTGTCTTTGTAAATAGCATTATGACCATAAGAACATTAGGGACAAAAGATATAGTCTGGGCAGTCCTTATTCTGAAGCAACCTAATTCTCCATTTTTCCTCCACACCCATTACTCCCTGGATTCAGCATAAATAACTATAACTCTGGCTTGTTGGGTTGGGGTTTTTTGTTTGGGGTTTTTTTGTTTTTTGTTTTGTTTTGGTTTGGTTTTTTGCCTCTTAGAGATAAGACAAATATTTCTTTTCACATTTCTTCAGGAAGTTTCAAACTCCCCTGCCTATCCCCAATAGGACTGCCAGGGAAGGGGTGTGTCCTTAGCTTTCATCTTCCCTACCTTATTGTCTCCAATTTAGCTTCCAGTCTTGAACCGCTCCTTTTCCTTTTCCTTCACTCTTCCCCAAAAGATTAACTTTGCTAATTACCCAGCACAGCTCATGTTCTACTCTCTTCATAATGCTACTTAAAATGATAGAGATTATGATGATGATGATAACGATAAGCTATTATTTCCCTCATATAAGAAGATGAACAACATTTCATCATCATTTGAAGACTTTAATTTTATGCTTTGGGGATAAGGAACATAAAGCTAGGTTCTTCTTTTTTTTTTTCTTAACTAACCTGATGTGCCCATAGGGTTGAAAGCTAGGAGAATGGGATGATTAAGCTGGTGATTTATATGTAAGAAACTGAATTCATTTAGACTGATTAGGAAGCACAACATTACTAGAGTAGATACTATGCTCAACTTGAAACCAGGAAGATCTAGTTCAAGTCTTGCCCCTGATTCTAACTAGGTGTATGATCTTGGGCAAATCAAGTAATCTCTTTGAGTCTCAACTTTCCCATCTGTAAAATGAGGATAATATTACTTGTAGTACCCACCTCACAAAGTTGTTGTGAAACTCAAATGAAGTAATGTATGTAACACGATTTGCAAATTTTAAAATTACTATAGAAATGTCAGTTATCATGAAGAGCCTACCTGAGAGTGAGTCAACTGAGTGAACCAGGTGAGTTAACTGAACAAGCCCAGGATGTGGCCAGCTAGATTTGATGTTCTGATAGTGAATCGGTAGCATCATCTTTGTCTGTGAAAAATACCATTACCCTGGAACCATGATAAGCAGGTATTTCTATCCTAAAACTGGCTTAATTTTGCTATAACCTTCTCAGTGACTTAAAAAATTCCCCCTATTTCTAATTTTCCATGTTTGTGAAGTGTTAGACTTTGCAAAGGGCACAGAGACAGTTCACAAGTATTGAGAGAGAGCATCAGCCACATTCCTGAAATGTTGCCCATCCTAAGTAAAACTCCAGGACTCATACATCTCTATATGTCAAGCTGGTGCTAAACCATCAGATTATTTTACTCTAGGACTTTCAAAGTCCTGATATTTTGGTTTCTTTCTAATTATTCGCTGAGGCTGGGAAAGGATAAATAGCTCCAAACAACTACGAAAGCCAATGCTACTAAGGCAAGGTTGGTCAAGGTAAAGAATACTGTGATTGAGATATTTTGATAGCTCTATCCAAGTCTATCTGCTGCCTCCTTAACTTCATGCTGGATTGGTTCCTGTTTGTTAGGAACTCATATTATAGAAAGAAATATGAAAATCCTTTCATCCCATTTTCACAACTTCCTTTTATAGCCTTCTTTGATAACATGGGTTTATGTTCTGTATCCACTTCTCTCCGCCCCTTATTTTCTCTCCCTGTCTGTTTTTATTCTTGTATCATCAAAGTAATGATACTTGTTGATAAAGGACTTAAAGATTCTAGAAAGATAGGATTATGAGAAGGAAGTGTGTTATTGTTATGTCTTTATCATCTCCATCTTGCCTGGTAGTACAGACTATTTTGCCTACTATGTTCCCATGAAGCTCAAATGGATGATAATTCTATTTTTAACTTTTATTCATTTCATGAGTGTGAGATCTGGTGGCCCACTGAAGATTTGCAAACATGGCTAAACCATGTTGTTTTTAAGTCCACTGAGCAGAGCACCAAGACTTTAAATCCCAATGTTATTAGTATGTGAAGCTGAACATATATTTATGAAAATGCATATGTTCTTTCAAGTTGCTCTTTTTCTGCCCCAATCTTCTCCACTTTCTTGTTACAAATCTATATAGAACATTAAGTAAGAGACCTATTACTCTGAAGTTGAAAAACATGAGCTTTCTACGGCTTCCTTGCAAATTCTATGTCACTAAATGAGGCTGTGTCTCTGCTATACCACATGAAATGAAGTTAGGGATTTTGAAACATAAAGTATAGCCAAAGTATAGATTTGGGGATTAATAGTCACTCTTGGGCATGAATTCTCTGAATTGGTTATCTGTGGTCTAAAGCTTGCCATAATTGCTAGCTTTCAACTTTACTATTTGCTGTGTTAACCTGGTTCAGAAGTCACAAAAACAGATTTATAGAAGGCACTATTCTCCTTCTCTCTTTGTATTTTATATAGTTAAAGTACTTCGTTAAAGAAGTATAGTCATTTTATATGTATTTTAACATACAAACTGCTGCTTTCTTAAAATATGATCCCTTTTTGGTAAACATAATTTATATTAGTCCTTATTATATTCCAAACTTGTTTTCTAAGAGATATTCCATATAAAAGTAATACCTGTGTACAGATGGACCAATCGAAAGGGAATGAACACAAATGTGTACAGTTTATGTAGATGCATAATGGACTCTTGGAGTCATGAGTCATAGAGTATATGGCCAATTTAATACAGGCCTCATTTGATCTAATTTTAGGGAAACTACTTTAAATGGGCCATTCAGTATTATAAAGCTATTGGTGGTTAATAAACCCATAACTCTAATAGGTTGTCTAATATGATAAGCAAATAGAATAGTCAATAGAAATTCAACACATACCTGCACTGAAGCTAGTAGTGGGAGGAAGTCAAACTTATACGATGGTAACTTGGAAGTAAAATTTTCAAATGAAGTAAATTATCTATTTTTTTTATCATGCCATAGGATTAGAGAAAGAAATCTTATTAAGAATAGTAACAATATTGCTTCAGAAAGGTAATCCTATTTGAATGTATAGCCAGGTCCCAATTAGTGCAAATGATGAATCCCTTGAAGTGTTCACATTATTAAAATTCTCACTGCATTTTTCCATTGGGCTGGCACCAATGACCATATTTTACACAATTACAACTTTGAATAGTGCAAATTTTAATGTATGAGACAACTTCAGGGCATTCATTCTTCCCACTAGTGGTGACCTAAGTTACACCATGTCCTTACATATGTATATGTTTGTATATATGCATGTGTGTATAGATGTTTTGTTTTCTCAGCAGTTTTGTAAGTTTACATTGTCACTGAGGTGGTTCAGAATGAGTGGTAATAGTATAACTTCTGAAACAAATAAGCCTTAATGCACTTTTTCTAAAACTTTTTCAAGTGGCCATTTACATGCAATTGCCTCTAAGCCTTTTCTCTGAATATGTCAATGCTACAAAGAATAATGTAATATTAAAGAAATTCCTGTTTTCAAATAAATGGTCTGAACAGATTAGAGTGTCTTATTTGGCTCTCATTTCCATACTGAACTAATTAAATTTGAATAAACTTCAGAAAAATTCAAAATAGGCAATATTATCCAAATAGATGTTTCTGGTAACTTCGTATCCTATAGATCCTGAATAAGAAGTGCAATGTTGTTAATTTTAAAAAGAATAACCTATTTGGCTCAGTAATTGAACAAGTCTGAGCTAGCTCTAGCAGCTGGAACAGTGTTTGGCACATAGTAGGTGCTTAATAAGTATTACATAGAATCAAAGGCTCCTAGGTCTCTTGAAATGAAGGAAAAAAAGTGGTAAAAATTGTACTTAGGTCCATTTATCTTCCAAACTAACAGTTATAATTGTACCTACCTTTGCATTGCTTCCCCCTTCATCCTTGTCAGTCTACTCCTTCCTTCTAGCCTAGGTAGAATGATAGACTACTTCTAGGGACATTTTCCATTCACTTAAATTAGACAAGCATTTCTAAAACAGTTCATGAGTTCCAGGAACATGCTAGGCACTGGCGATTCAAAGACAGCCTCTTCCCCAGTGATCTTACGTTCTATGTTTCAGGGCCACTGCCTCTCCATTATGAGAATCTGAGTGTGAATAAGAGTCATCTAAACTTGTTATTAATACCTCACAAGCTAAGTACAGTTAATTAAAATGTTTTGCGAGTTTCACAGGCTTTGAGTTAATTCAGTTCTGTGTCTGAGCTCTTACTGATACAGACAGCATTAGTAGGGGAGCTGAATTATAAAAGCTTTTCATGGTTTCAAGCCAAGACTCCAGAAGCTAGAAAACTATTCTAGTAAAAATGTATTAAAGTCGATGTAGTGAATTTGAACTCTCCAGAGTCACAAAAAAAAAATCTCTATGTATTAAAACACTATACCTCTTGGAATCCTTAGCTTCCTTCAAGCCTCAACTGAAGCTCCATTTCACTAATAGGACTTTCCTAATTCTCCTAGTTGTTAGTGCCCCCATAGCTATTTATTTATTTTGCTTTTTATCGTGTGCCTACACATTTGTCTGTGAACATGTTCTTGCCAAGTAGAATGGAAACTCCTTGGAATCAGGGGCTATCTTACTTTTGTCTTCATATTCCTAGCACCCAATATAGTGGCTGGTATGTAATACACATTTAATAAATGAATTGGCTAACTCTCAATCTATAGTTATTTGAGATGGAGATGATCATGGGTGGGGATCAGAAACATTTAGATGGGTGTTATTGAAGTTTGATTTACTCTGATGAACTGATCCAAGGCATTGGTGATACTCATGCTAAATTAAGGAAAATTCTAGAAAGTATTATTAAGATATGGGAAGAAACAAGTTGACATAGATTAGTTATTTTTAAATAAGGGGGTATTCAGATGAAGTTTCTTAGCTTCCATGGTGTACTTTTGAAACATGTGACTGTTGTTTCCTTGAGTATAAAAATGTAGGGGACTAAACTTTGCTATGACTCAGAACCAGTTGGTTCCCAGACAGTTCTATTATAGAATTGATTACCTCTAGAATTAGAAAATTTTTTTTGAAGTTCTATTCTCTCAGTACTCTTTCTAGAGTCTATATAGGGCACTGATAGGATAGGACTTTATTATATTTTCTAGTGACTTTTTTTGGTAACCAGTATCCTAATTCAAGACAAAGTTAGAAAGTCATTTTATGTAATGCCTACGAAGTTGCCATTTATTTTTACCCGTGGGAAACAGGTATAATTCAAAAAGAATTACTTAGCTTCTTCTGTGAAAGTTGACATTTATATCTAGCCAAGAATTCTAGCATAAGGTAAAAAATTAATACCTTAGGCCTTAGTCAAGAAGCATTTTTATGCCAAGCACCTTAGCATCTTTCTCAGAAATAATTCTTGAGTAAAAAAAGTGTTAAAATATGACTTAGTTCAAGTATGGCAGGTATGTTGTAATTAGGACATATCTATGTTGTTGTTGTTTAAATCAAGAGTCAGGAGACCTATGTTCTTGATCCTCATTTTGCCACTAACTTTGAATAAGTCATTTTATTTCCCTGGTTCTCATTTTCTTCCTCTGTAAATTTAAGAGGTTAGATTGGATAATCTAAACTGCCATTTCTACAGTGTGAACAAATTAAATTTTTATTCAGTTTTTTTTAAGGCTGAATTTGGGGTCAATTCACAAAATAATATGTCAATGCTAAAGATACAAAGATTAAAAAAAAACCCCATATAGTCCATTATTCTCAAGGAGCTGAAATTCCAAAAGAAGAAATAAAATGTCCACAAATTAGACAAGGAATGCAAAG